ACATAAATAACATGCACAAGGTATTTAACACAGCTTTCAATTTATTCACGCTCGCACACAATCACCGATCCACATGCACACCCCGAGAGTAACTTATATGCAAACATACGTACCAGTATAGGCATATACACACCTTAACAACCATACTTCTTAACATGTATACATTTTAGCGAAACATGGCGACTACTCACTGGACTACAGTGAACGCTAATCACATACATGTAGAGAACGAAGAATGAAGAATATCCATCTTACCAATTACGATTAATGTGGAGTAGTCTGACCAGTTGTATTCATTAACATGTAGAGGCAACCTAGCAGATCATGATGAGTCAAGTAGAAGCTACAGTTACATTATTATACGAGAGATCGCCATTGTCCGTCCACTCGCTTCGGCCACCGGAAGCACCAACAACACCCAGACTATGTTCAAGTGATCATCAATGTGAACTTCAGTGGCATTCAAGTGCGGTTTGCTGTGGGTGAAAGGTCAACACCATAGCAGAAGCCCGAAAGGGAATAGTAACTGGTTGCACTATTTTAGTTGTGGTTATATTTGTGATGGGGATGAACTTGATCATTGCAGCAAAGAGGGGAGCCACCGGAGGCAATACAGCCTCAGGGATATGCTTTCCTTCTAACAGAGGTTTCATGGATGACCTGACCAAGACTACAACGACACGCGTGCAAACTCGTCGGCTTCTTTAAGCCTAGGATGAGATAGTGACATGGGCAAAGAACAGAACCTTGTTTGACACCTATATTTATATCAGACGTGGACCAAAAATAGAACCTTGCCGAGTTCTAAAGTAATTGGGTTAACGCACATGCCCTCTGTTTAGAAAACATTCAGCTGGCTGGGGGGTCGAGATGGAGGAGAGCTGGCAGCTAACCACAGACCCGTAGTGCCTGATCAGCACTGCGGTTCCACCGCACGGCGAGTGTCCTGGGATTAAGGGTGAGATTCAGTGGCCATCGGTAAAAAAGGCTATTTTTGCAGATGTGAAATTCAAGAGCAGGGAGTCCCGTATTGCCCTTTTATATGCTCCCTATTTGCTTTTATTTGTGAACAAATAATTCACAAAATAGTATTTTTTCTTAAAAATGTTTCTCTTAGAAGTACTGTGGTTGCATTACTTACTCAACGTGGACAGGAAGATGTTCTTTGCTGTGCTGGCCAAACGAATGACAACTTACCTGACATCAAACCAGTACATTGACACCTCGGAGCAGAAAGGAAGAGGGATACCAACTTTCTCGGGATGCGTAGAACACACAAGTGCCATCAGTCGGATCATCAGAGAAGCTATGGTAAACCACAACGACCTAACAGTTGTCTGACTAGACTTCGCCAACGCTTAAAGTTCCATACCACACAAGCTTACCGAGATCAAAACATATGCACACTATAGAGAGACATCTGTTACTAGTGTTACACTGTATTTACATGCACTTCATTAGTTCGCATAAATTGTACACAGCAGTGCATTTAAACAAACGTTAAACACTACAGTCGAAAAACTAGTATTTAGAAATGTTTATAAAGCAGATGATATATATGTGCCTATATCAAGGGAAGGTGATGAGAGATTGCTTTTATCACACAGCAATATAAAATGACTGTATAAGTTCCTGATCAGTCCACTTTTCAAATATAAATAGAACGTTATCTTGAATTTCTATAGCACACTTAGTCACTTGTCAACGGATATTGTTCAGCTTAAAACCCTGGTCACCCGAGTATTGATCAGCTTTATTGCTTTGCTTGGCTATGAAGTATATACACTTTTATTGTGGCAGGATTGAATTTAATCAAATTTAGTTTAATGTTGTATAATAATTGTTGTATAATAATATGTCCGGTATAGAGGTCAGTAGTGTGACGTCACTATATATCTATTATCTGATTGGCTATTGGGTTGGCGCGCGATACCTTTGTATGACTAGGCAGACGAGAGAGCGACGACAACTGACAAGAATATAAGTGAGGTATAAACTCGATTTCTCGATTTACAAACTAACCTGTCGATCTTTTCTATTTGTCCTTTTTCCTGTCCGGCGTGCGGTATTTCCCGCGAGCAGTATCTGATATTATTTATACGGTATTTTATATTATTTTAAATAAAACATGTATGTGTGCGTACGCTGGTTTTACCTGAGTGACCGCCATTACACCGGCCGGTACGATTGTGTTTACATTCTATATCTTATTATTTGTATCGTTTATGTTTACAGACTTGAATATGTGTACCGACTAATACATGACACATGGACATATTGTAAAGCCTTCTGCCACACAGATGTGATTATTTCATTATAAGTCATAATAATCCCAATATGTATGTATCCTTTTGAATGTCCCGTCATAGCGTACGTCCGTGAATAGTTTTCACCATTTATGAGTAACGTCAACAGTAAATGCCAAAAGACCATACACTTATAATATAATATATGTGTAAAGGTAAATTGTAATCCAAATTGTAACTAATAGACAAGGAAAAAGTATATGTCCTATTTCCAATTCATTATTTGTTATTATATAATTCCCGGTTAAACGAACGTATTTTACGGCTATGAAGTATATAGACTTATTATGATACTATATATCAATAAGCACACAATCGAATATATAACCAACAAAACATTATCCTCTTTTTCCGGCAAAGTAGCCGCATTTAACTCATAAAGTGCTGTGTTTGTCAAATTTTAAGAAGCCTCCTTAAAAAGGTTATATAGTCTGCCAAGGTCCTGATTAGTAATATCTTACGACCCCAATAAAATATTCAGATATGTAATATGAATTGATGGAGCTTGTTTAGCTATAAAAATGGTACATAGCGACGTTAAGGTAGTCGATAAGACAATAGACTTAGGCCGACGTCGTTATATATAAAAGTAGTTCAAAACTATTATAACACGTCAATCTCTTTTACGACCTAGTTACCTATGGAGAAAACCACCAGCCTTGGATCTAATTGGTTGATGCTGTGACTTAACAATCGTTTATGGTGCTTGTTGAAAGGTTAGTATACAGATTGAATGCAGCAGTCCGCAGCAAAAACCTTCCTTCACTACCGAGTAGTTTGGTTATCCAGCAGACGAAGAAAAGGCGGATAAATGAGTATAAGGGATGTATGGAGTGAAGGGATAGAAGAGGGAGACAGAGGAGAGAAAGAGACGTCTGTCCTATATGTATTTACTGCATAAGTCTAGTTTTTGTAGGACGGCTCCTAGATCTAATGTTACAGCACCAAGTCTGGACCGTGAGGTAGAAAGCCGCCAATATTAACACCAGCTCCTAACTATTCTATAAATTAGGTTTGTATATATAACTTTAAAGTCCTTCTAAATGTCTTAATAAAGATACCCTAGTTCTAACGGTCGAATATTTGAAACAAAGTTTACCCTATCCTCTGGGCCGGCGTTTACGCGCCTACTCTTTTTCGAAAAACTTGGAGGGATCTTTTTCGTGCGAGGTTGGAGAGTTCTCACACGGGCCACCATTTATAGTCCCGATATAGATGTAATTTGCCGAAGAGGGGGTGTGTGGTCACAACCGCTGAATAAACGTTATTTGCCAACTCCATCCATTTATCTTGTTAACGATAACAGCTATGCCTACTCAACATCCTAATGTATATACATCGTTAAGGCTTTGTACAGTCTAATAACGATGTACCGCAATCCGTCTCCACCTATCATCTAGCTGTCACACATCGTAAGTATATTGTACCTGCGTTCGCCCGTGTGAGGAAGGCTTTGGTTTCTCGCCCCTGGCCGAGACATACCAGAGTCTGTAAAAGTGATAGTTTCTACTCCTGCTTAACCCTCAGCAATTTAGGAATAGAACGACCGGGTGAAGTGTCCTGCTGGGTGTCTTCGGCAGTATGTTTCAGTGAGGTAGCACTATGAAGTCGGCATCCGCGCTATCACAAGGAGACAAACACGAACATATCGCAGCTTCCCAAAACACACACGCACACACTTCACGCATAAGCTACACGCATGTATCTTGCACACAGTGGAGGCCGTCCATAAATGACTATAGGTGTTGATACGACCTTAAACAACACTAAACCAAACCACAACCCGTCTCCACTAAAACAGCTGTCCCACAATCCTTCTCCTCTAATCCAGCTGTCGCACAGTCTGCCTCTCTAATCAAGCTGTCACACAATCCGTCTACACTAATACAGCTGTCACACAATCCGTCTCCACTAATCCAGCTGTCACACAATCCGTCTCCACTAATCTAGCTGTCAAATAAATCTGTCTCCCCTTAGTCCAACTGTCACACAATCCGTCTCCACTTATACAGCTGTCACACAATCCGTCTCCACTAATCCAGCTGTCACACAATCCGTCTCCCCTACTCAAGCTGTCACACAATCCGTCTCCACTAATCCAGCTGTCAAAACAAATCTGTCTCCCCTTAGTCCAACTGTCACATATTCCATCTCTACTAATACAGCTGTCACACAATCCGTATCCACTAATCCAGCTGTCACACAATCCGTCACCACTAATCTAGCTGTCACACAATCCGTCTCCACTAATCCAGCTGTCCCACAATTCGTCTCCACTTATACAGCTGTCACACAATCCGTCACCACTAATTCAGCTGTCACACAATCCGTCGCCACTTATACAGCTGTCACACAATCCGTCACCACTAATTCAGCTGTCACACAATCCGTCACCACTAATCCAGCTGTCACACAATCCGTCTCCACTAATCCGGCTGTCACACAATCCGTCTTCACTAATCCAGCTGTCAAAACAAATCTGTATCCCCTTAGTCCAACTGTCATATATTCCATCTCTACTAATACAGCTGTCACACAATCCGTCTTCACTAGTACAGCTTTCACATAAGTGGTGACTTGATAAGACGATACTTGGTTAGTATTGACTAGATAGGGATTTCTTTTAATTTATAGCTTCTCAATAGGGACTACATTACTTTGAATTAATTATACCCCCGCAAAGGGGGGTGTGGGTACTGGAATCAGATTGTCCGTCTGTCTGTATAGTATTTTTCATTTTGTTATCTCCCCTTGACATTGTATGGAAAACGCAAGAACTTCATTCATTGTTTTATTCAATTCCCTCCAAATCTGGTATGGTAATACTAGAAGCAATAATGTTTAACATATATAACGGGTTTATTGTCAGGTTTCAACTTTACGCGCTTTGAAAGGTCAAAGGTCACGAATTAATTACGTTACCAAAATTACTAATTATCTCGTAAACAGTTCATATTTTGTATACACATATACATAAGAGTATCGTAGCCAATGATGTATGCTATATTATGACGAAATTCCAAGGTAATGAGGTCAAAGGTCACAGATGCATTATGTTACTGAAATGGATAGTTATGGCAGAGATGGTAGGTATTTTGTATACACATACCTTGGAGTAAATGTAGCATTGATGCAAGCTACATAATGACAAAATTCCGAGGTCATAGAGTCAAAGGTCACAGCAATGGTGTTTTTCTTTTCCATCAGCCTGTAGCTACTATTTCATGACCCTTGATCTTTCTTACCCCCCCTTGTTTATTTAGCCCCTACAGGGGCAACAAGCAGCATGAATGCAGTAGGTATTAGCTAGCCCATATGCGACAGTTCTAGTTATTACTGGATAGGAACCTAATTCGATTAGTGGCTACCGGATGGAGACACCCTTGGATAAGTGGTGACTGGATACACGAGACTCCACTGTGTTCTCTGTTTAGAATGTTATGACATCAATTAGTGAAACTTGTGTGCTTCGTAGCAAAATCGCTAATTGAAAACAAACAATTTATTATTTTGAAAAGGATAGATGTTTCCTTGACAAGTACACTTAAGACGGACACGGTTCGGCGTTTTCAAACTTCCCGATGACGTTGATGAGTATATACATGATGATGGCCCCGAGTGTTGACCCTGACTGTGACCCTATCCCATACATCCTTAGAGCATCTTTTCCCTCGTTAAGGAACAGCGTGGCGATGCTCACCTTAGCAAATGTCAATAGTGTCGTAGTAAACACCCAGGTCAAAACCTGAAAGTGCATTAAGAGTTGACAAGCTCGGATATTTAAAAAATACAAAAATAGTGTCAACATCTTCAAAAGTACTTTTTCACTGGAATTCTTATCATAACATTTATGTTATTCTGTGGTATGTAATTCTACCACGTTTGCGATGTAACGACGCATTCCTTTGGTTAAATGGCATGTAATATTGGACGATAGACCAAGCACGCGCATGTAGTATATCCCAACAGACAATCAATGTTTTTTGTTTGCCTGCTAGCAAATCTTCAAATTCATATACAATAACATGTGTGTACCCTCATTCGACAAAGGAAACCAGTCCCACGGCACTATAATCAGACATTCAAAGATTCTTCCCCGCAAATGTAAGCATGCGATCCGTGGGACTGGTTTTCTTTGTCGAATGAGGGTACACGCTTTTATTTTTATATGAATTTGAAGATTTGCTAGTTGGCAAACAAAACACATTGATATTTAACCTCTAGATCTACTTAAAGCATGTCGGGTTCACGGTCAGAATGTTCTGACCTTGGCATTCAAAAATCTTGGAAAAGTGATCAAAACAGGCCGCAAGAGACCTTTGGTAATAGGTAGATTATTTCTAAAATAGAAAGGGCAATGTTTAAAACAAACCAAATTTACACTTAACTTACCACAAGAGTTGGTCCTATGTCTGGAAAGGCAGGAGTAGGACTTGATGATGCAGTGTACAAGATGTAAGAGGCAGTAGCAAATCCTGCGGTCGTCACACCGTATATAATTCTTTGTGATACAACAGGAAATACAAAAGCTACGAAACAGGCCATCGGATTGGCTATGTTAGACAGCGTCACTGACCAATGGTAAATGTCGGTTCCGTACGGCAAACAGGAGTAAGTTTGTACAGGAGGAAGACACCCATTAGCTATTACATTAATCAACAGATTTAAAATAAGAAATCCTGCCAGTGAAATCGGAGTCATCGCCCTTAGGTCATCTTCCGGTTTACGCTGGCTCAGTTGATTGTCTTCGGTTTCTATGTACACGTCATCTTCAGTGATTCCCTTATCACGGCATGTTGATGTATACTCTCGTTTACAACAGGAAAGTGTATTTAGTAGTGTAAACGATATCAAACAAACTAAAGTTGTTGAAAACAAGAAAAAGATAAATTGTTCTACAGAAAAAAACGGCGTGTGGTAAACAGGTATTAGAACGTAGTCCGTGACATTTTGATTCTCATCAGATGACGTCACATTTTCACATGTCATACTTCCCACGCCTTGCGCTAATGCCACAACGCTCGGTAGTAATCCGCTCATCCCTTGACCAATGAAAAAGGCGGTTATATAGTGTTTCTTAAAGAGTGCCATAAAAGGAAGAAATACAACGGAAGCTGAACAACAGACTATCGCTAGTACAAAAACAAGAATGAACAATCCGCTACTATGGAAATCCCCGGCAATCAATGACGTCGTTTTCCAGAAAAACATCAAGAAAAGAGCAGCTACACATCCGAATGACAAGAGGAGATAAATCACACATTTATCGTTTACTTTTTCCTTGGCAAAATGGAAAAGAAGAGCTATTCCGATTGGACCGATGTTTGCGACCTGGATGATAACGTTCAAGTATGACGGAAGTGTCCATCCTTCCGGTAAATGAGGAACCAAAAGTGGCAATTCTACCCATAAACCATTGAGTGTCACCCACGACCCGGTACCGAACAACACAACTAAAACGTAAACAAAAACACCGTTCATGGTGACAAGTCGAATGCTCTGTGTTGGTCTCATCTGAAATTAAAGATAACATTACGAAATATTAGTTGGACACGTAATGCAAGTCATTTTATAATTCCGTTTTTACAGTCATTTAACATGTTTCTATACTACTGTACTTATGTCATGCCTGTACAGGTATTGGGAAATCATAGTACTGCTGTATCCCACTGCGTGTTGTAGGAGGTGACTTACATCATGTTTGTGCCCCATGCATAACCGGGGGCTCTTTATGTCTCTTACTTCGGGGATATTGAGGAAACAGAAATTGATGCGCTGCCCTGTCCCATTGCAACACTTGAAATCTATATAATTATGTTCCTTTTTCTCTCCGTTACCCTTTTTCCGGCGGTGTCTCCTTGGGCACCTGTCTTCATATGACAAACAAAATGGTAAATCGTCGTTCAACTGCGTACATTTGTTCTGTATTGCCGCTTTATAACCCTACCAAGACCAGTTCCATGTTATGAGACCATAACACAGGTGTAGTGATATATCCACGGGTCCGACTAACTACCGGATCGCTATTCCCCTCCGCACTGGCACGAAGATAAACAAAAGACAATCCATTATGATTCAATAATATCCATAGTCTTATGTGAGACCATCATAAAAAGTTAATTGAAGAATATTTATTGATTAAATTATGAAAATCGTATCGATATTTTTGTGTTAATACCAACTCTATTTTAAACGGGGAATGTCACGAGATCACATTCCGTGGAATGAAATGAAAATTTAAAAGAAAAAAAGAAAAATGTAAAGAAACATTAAACAGCATTCTGTTACGTGTTATGGTCCTATTACACGGAACAGAATGCTGTTCGTTGGTCCCTGTAGGTAGGGCGTAATAATTGTACCTGCTGCCCCCATTTCCTGATCGTAAGAGGCGACTAAATTTGGGATCTTAATTTTTCTCTTCTTTCTTAACAACTTTCTTCTTCCTAATGTCTCCCTTGACAATGCCTCACTTTTGGCCTCTTAATGTCTCCCTTGACAATGCCTCACTTTTGGCCTTTAGTTGAGCGTTCGCCCCTGTGAGTATATATACCTTAAACTATAAAGTCAAAATATAGAGTAAGTCCCTGCAGATAGGGCGTAAGAATTGTACCTGCTGCCCCCATAGCTGTTGATAGTACGTTAAACAATACCAAACCAAAATATAGAGCAAGTAAATCATCACGCAATATTACTCACGTTCAGTCCATTTCTGCTTTGTACAGATGCTTCGCCTGTTCTCCGTAAGATACACGAATAGCACACAGTGTTTATGCCTAGCGCTGACAATGTTTATAAATATACATGGCGAATAAAACATACATATATATATATATATATATATATATATCCTTTAATGCGTAGATTGGATCGTGATTCGGTCGTTGATATCGAGTTCGCATATCGTGAATCGACGGCATCAATATTCATTTCCACCACAAGACGCATAAATCTCGACACAATAAATGTACATGACATCGACACCGTGCATGGGATTGTTCCGGACCAGAGCTCTGAAACCGTTCAAGATAACTACTGAAAATTGTGTACAGTTATCAAGCTAGTACTCTAGTAGTGCTTTGTGCTATGAGTTTCCCATTTAAATACTGTTTCTGTTACCATGGAAACAGATAGGCCAAATTACAAATTTCAGTTGTATGGATCATGACTCCAAAACCGTTCAAGGTAACTACCTGAAACTTTTTATAACTATCAAGCCAGCATTCTTGTAGTGCCTTTTGCTATTGAGAGTTCTCATAATTTTTTTTTAAATTTTGGTACCATGGAAACACAAATTTTGCTGTTTCTCTATCAAAACCTTTCAAGATAACTACATGTACCTGAAACTTTGTCCACTTAACACTCTAGTTAGGCAAAATTACAAATGTCACGGTTAATAGAGCATGGCAACAAAATTGTTCAAGAACTGCCTGAAACTTTGTACAAGCTAGCGCTGACTTGATGCATTTTGCTACTGGAGGAGTTCTCATTTTGGATTTTTTTTCTTTTTCTGTTGCCAGTGAAAAAGGCAAAAATACAAAATTTGAGGTTTCTGAAGCATGATCTAAAAACTACTAACAATAACAAATTTAACTTTAAATTGTACACTTATCAACCTAGCACTCTGTTGGAGCCGCTAGCATTCAAGATACAGGAAGTTTTGTACAGTTATGAAGCTAGTGCTCTTATTAAGCTTTTTTTGATGGGGAAGTCATCAGTGTTATGTAAAAGATGATCTCCATAAAAAAATATCAGTAACAGTGGTGGAATGGAGTTAATACCTGTTATTGTAATATTAACACATATATATAAATATCTTAACAGCGGGACGCGGAGGATAATGTCACACTTTGCGTTATCTGGTTTAACTTGTTAAATTGCCTGTGATATTTGTTTGTCATTAAACTAGCCTTTGTAATTACCTGTATGTGATTGTCATGTTTGTCGCAAGAATAACACTTCAGTGCTAACGTTTTGTTGTTGTTTTAAATATGCGACGTTAAATAAAAATCCGTGTATCTCCACACTAACAGGGACACGGTGCGCATTGAGAGTGTACGTTGCGAAATGTGATTATACTATTGAAGTGTATGATCACGGACTTGTGTATGCTGTCGAAATGTCTCAACATTGGGTTTTCCGTAAACAATCTGTTAAAATAACATGTAATTACCATTCCCAAGTATATTAAGTCGATAGGTTAGGAAGATTACCATGTTTATTGGTGTTTTCAGCGATCAGGTTTGTAATATAGTTGTTTTGGGGGATAGGTCGAAGTACCTACATGTATTTATATATTTTAAAAATGACTGAAAAAGACAAATTAAAACAAGGACTAACAATAAAGAGTTATAATGTTGTTTTGAGATGGGATAGATATAAATATGTAGTCAGTGTCACGTAATAGCACCGATACTAAGTTTTTAGCTATTCGTGGCGTGTAACTTGTTCATTAAGGATGTACTTTTCTGAGGTTTCAAGCACGTTCAAGTCTCGTTTTGATCTTGTGTAACAGTTTTTTAATATTTAAAAAGTTAAGATCAATTTTAATAGCAAACAGGCAGTTGAAAGATAAATTCGAAAAATATCCTACAATCTGTCATGAAATCTATATTTCAGATATTACCATTAATGATCAGTGACGAGAACAAATTGTCGAGAAACGAGATAAAACAAGTATAATCATTAATAAATAAATATAATATGAGCTATAACAACATTTGCTATTGAAACGTCATCAATCTCTTTTGTGACTTCATCAATGTCATTGTTGTCAAGGTTCATGTTTATACCATTTTCTCACAGATCACCTCCCCCC